TGACGGTTTGTTCTAAACGCTCCAGAACTGCGGCCGAAATGCGTTTGGCAGCTGGAAATTACAAAATTTGAATTACAAAACCGCACTCTCGTGGGCGAGGCCGGGCCGAAACTTGCAGCGCGCCCACCGCGAACAAAACTATAGAGGGTGCGATGATTTCGGGGGATGCAACCCGCACGACGACCGCACAGTTTGAAATTGAAACTGAAAGCCGCCGCTTCATGAAAAACGACACATGCATCTCTTTTTTTTCCTGTGCATTTGCATTTTTGTTTAAAATTCATTAGAACAAATTTTAAATTATTCACGAGTAGCCGAATTTACATTGTAAAAACAAATGTTATTTCCCCATCGGAAAATGAAATGTTTTCCGAAGGGTCGCGCCTCATTAGAATAATTTGTATGTGTGAGTGTTGTGGTGGACACGGCGTGGCGAGCGGAAAAAATCGATATTGCTCTCGGACACACTGGCTAGACCCTTCCTAGTTTTATGGTCTTCATTTTATGGCTGTCATTAATTTGATTAACGTACAAGAGAGATAAGAGTTAGTTTCCCCCGGACCGCTGCTGCCTTTAAATTAGAAAATTTATCAGAAGATGAGAATCTCTATTGTTTAAACAGACGTCAGTGGAATGAATTTTTTAGTCGCTCGCGCTTTAGCATTACAGCCGTGTCATTCCCATTCAACTCGCGTTGCGCTTTCCCACTCGTTTGGCGGCGGCGGATGTCGCTAATCAATTTTCAATTTGTAGCGCAATTGAACTGTGAATAAAAATGACACACAACAACTGTATTATTTGAAGATTTTTCGATCAGAAATGCTAAGTTTATTTCTCATGATTAATTTTTAAAAGACGTAAATAAAATTACCTTCGGGTTCAAGCAAACTTCTAGGAGTTCTAAATCAGGCAAATTAATTATCTTTTGGCGCAAAATATTATTTTAAAAGGTAATTAAATTATATTGCTTTCTACAGTGTGATGTAAACGACGTAATTTTAAATTCTGCAAGTAAAAAGTAATAAAAGAGGATAGAAAAATTTTAGCTTTACCAATTAAATTCAAATATATTTACTCTGCATCTCTTCTTTAATTGTCGTGAATTGATTTGTGAAGAGAATGATCAATATTTACAATAAAATAATCCATAATTTTAGTTGGATCAAAATAGTTATATTGGTGTACCATAACTAAATATTGGCCCAAATCAAGAAAAGTCGCATATTAATCCAAAATTACTAAAAAAAAAACAATATACAAAATTTAAGAAACCATCTAAAAAAAAACCTTGGAAGCCAGCAAAGTTGTGTCCGCAAAATCACAACTCACCATAATTTTGCACTTATCAGAAACTTCTGGAGCGATGAAAATTTTATTGGACGGAAATTGCTTCTGTGATAACCATTTACACCAAAATGAATTATTCTATTTGTAACCAAATATTTCAGTCCGGTTCCGCTGATGGACACATCGTGATTTAATCCTCGCACAATAGATAGATTTATGTAAAATTACCATAAACGCGTGCGCATTTCCGTGAATTAAACATGCGCGTATTTGCCAGATTTGCAGGCGTCGTTTTCATCGAACAAGCAAACAAGTGTAATATATTCGCACTTTCACAGCAAACAACTATTTGCATAATAAAAGAGCTGTGCGTGGCATTTTTCTGGGAAAGCTGCGCCTTTTTGTACTACACACACTCGCTGGCCCGCAACGCCCCCTTTCGGTTTCGCCAGCTTAGACTTTTGCATGCGGCACTCGCCAGTTTTAGCTCGACTCCCCCCGCGCGCATGCAGAATAATTACACACACACGCTGCTCTCGCTACCCGTTAGTTGTGTTTTCCATAATTGAATTTCTCTGTTCGCAGGGATAAAAGAGTTTATTTATGGGACACTTGGCTTTCTTTCCGCGCGCGCACTCCCAATAATAATTAACTAACGAAGAGAGTGAATGAAAGAACAGCAAGTAAGGGTGCGGTGCGGCGCGGCTACCGTCGTCCCCCGTCCGTATCACCACCCAGTTATCTTGTTCCAGCTCCTTTTTATTTTGTCGTAACTCATTCTGAAAAGATGCCTCTTGCCAGATAAGCCGACCTATTAATCCAAACATGCAGCTCTTTTTATACATTATGCAAACGACCCCGTCGCGCTTGTAGTAACAATTATGAAAAAAAAAACAATATACATGAAGAAAAAGAGGTGGTAGAATAAATAAAGTAAATAATGAAAAAAGGTAAACCATCTTTTGTCCAAAATAAATGTGGCCAAAGACTACATAATATATTGTGAATCAAAAGAAATTAAGATTTTGTGGGATAATGTTAGTTTCTTAATTTGTGATTATATCTTAAAATAATTAAATAAGTCTATAATAATTAAAAAAAATTATATCTATCAATCGAAAAACTAATTCCATTCAGTTTTGGCCATGTTTCGCAACCCTGCTTGACAAGAAGATAAAATAAAAGTAGAAAATCTTGAGGATATTTTTTAACTTTTTAGTTTACTAATAAATAATTATTAATTTATCAATAATTAAACCATTTAATGATTTTTTTCTATTTTCATTTAAAATTATATAAGAACTTTATTTTCCTTTGTGAATCAGTATAAAACAAAGGAATTTTCGGACAAACAGTGGAGACCGGAAGATAATCGTGTATATTTTGTTATTATAATACCGTTATAATAAAGGAGTTTTATTTTCCAATGGTTGATGGAGAGTTTCGTGGTTGCTTTTTTTGGTGTGGCCGGGCAGCTATTTATTTGCCGCGCGCACACTCGAGCCTATGAATACGTAAAAATTTAAAATTCAAAAGATATGTAGGCACGCAACTGCCGAGCAGTATAACGAACCGGCCGGCGGGCCCCGACTTTATATACGAACGAACGAACACACACACACACACACGCCGGCCGTTTAGGTAGTACACCGAGCTAGCGAGCGCCTGCCATAATGAAACTTATGCAATTTGCCTGACATTTATATCCGACCAGTTGTATACCGAGCGAGAGAGAGAGAGCGAGGAGTGCTCGCTCGGCCGGCAGCACACGACGCGCGCGCGGCCAACAAAATATGAATATTTTATGCAGCGCAAGCCTCTTTTCGTCCTAAATACTTCATTGTTGTTGTAGCTGGTGCAGAATTCGTCCGCCGTCCTTTGCCAGTCAAAATATGACGTGGAAATTTTAGTTTTTCCTCCGCACGTCCGCACCATGCACGCCCGCTCTCTGCGCGCCCTTCTCGTCGTGCAGCCTATATCGATTCGCCGCCGGCGGAATTAGGAAAAATATGTTGTTTCGGTGCGTTGGCGGCGGGCGCTAAGTCGAGCCCAAATTATGATTCATTACGTTCGCCGCTGGCCAAGCGAGCTCTGCTCCAACCTTTCCTCTCTCTCACTCTGCCCGGGGCATGTACACGATTTTCTGCTTCTCCGTATACATGCATTTATATACACGGGCAAAAGTTTTAATTTAAATTCGATTCCGGTGATTAGAATCGGTCGGTCAAAGTGCATCGGAGCGGCCGATAATGCTGATTGATATCGACAGGAGTTGCGAGGGTGTGGCCTAGGCATGTTTCGCAGCAGGCGAATAATGAAATAAGCCAGAGCAGCCCCATCATTGCCAACAAAAGTCAACTCTTTTTTACATTAGCCCCGCGAGATTGGCGGAGAGCAAGATATGGATCGGCTCTGAAGCTAGTTTTTGTTTGGTAAATGCGCCGCTCTTTCTTTCTTCCTCTGGCTCTTTCTTCCTTTCTATCTCTCTCCAATGCTAATTTCATCGTCGTTATGAAGTTTGCCGCTTTTTGCCGCAATTGTCAAGTCGGGCACGCGCCCGCTCACTCGGTTATCATCAGAATGGCTTTCGTATCGATCATCTCCGGCCAGGACGGACGCAATGACCACCACTGTTTTCCGCCGGTGCCCAAAACAATCGATGCTGAACGCAAATATTGAGCTCTCGTAATGTGAATTAATCGCGTCCAAAAGTTGTCCACCACTGCCTTTCAAAATTGATTGAGCTTTCATTAAAAAATTCAGCACTAAAACTTTATTTTCCATGTTTTTCTCACGTAAACTCAATAAGCTATTTTTTCTTTTTAAATTTATACATTACACACAAATATATTATATAATAAAACTGAGTATTTTAATTGAAATTTACTGCTGAGGTACTTACATATTTATGAAAAAAATATGCAAAACATCACTAAATAGCAATGTATCTGTTTTTACGTAAAATGGACATACTAAAAATATTTCTCCAGAGCAACTTGGCATATTATTGCAGTAAATATGGGCGTATAGGCTAAAATTATGAATTTTTAACTAAATAATACACAGTGAAGTAATTAAGTTTGAAATCAAAATCTTATTAAATTTTTTGCAACTAAATTTAAATTTACATGAGAGTCGTATTTCTATTTGAATATGTAAATAATAACTCTCATCGCTCTCCTGCTAGATCATTGAGAAATGCAATCTCTTGTTCTTCTGGTATTTTAAAATTCAGGATTTCTTGCGTCCATATACTAAATATTAAAGAGAAGGAATCTTTTATTACTTCTTATAATATATAGTGGCGAATTCTCCATTCAGCGTCTTGCAATAAAACTAAAATGAAAAATGATTAATAAATTGTTTGTTTTTGTTGAACGCTTACTCCAAATATTAATGGCAAGGAATCCTTTATTGTTACATAAAATACAAACATAATAATTTTTAATAAAAATGCAAGAGACCGCATCAAGAGCTCTGATCTCCGATTCCACTGCGCACAATGATAATTTTTTCTTGGAAAATTTGCGTTTCATTTTGTTCGCGCGAAACTGATTGACGGTAGCCAGTCATGTGTTTAATAATGCAATCAAACTTAAACCCACGCACATTGCATGGCGTCAAGGCCCATTCTTTGTGTGTTATGCTGCTGTAGATGCAATCTAATCGCGTGAACGAAAATCAGCGCGATAAGAGGCCTCTCGTCTCGAGTAAAGTGATCGCGATAAATATAAAAAGTCAAAGGAGAGAAATCTGGTGGTGAGAAGTGTGAAATCAGTTGGAAGCGAGAGAGGCCGTCCATTATTCTCCAACCGGCCAAAATGAAAACACCGATTTTGCTTGCAATCTGCATGGTGCTGCTCGCCTGCCCAGGTACACAATCTTCCTTTCGGTTCCATTAAAGATGAAATATGATACGCAGTCTGTCTGTATTTCTGACGTTTCGCAGGTGAGAGTGCCGTAATATGTCAGCTCGCAAGCTGGTCCGTGTATAGGCCCGGCGGTGGCAATTTCGAGATAGCCAACATTGAGCCGAGTCTGTGCACCCACGGAGTGTATGTGTTCGCCGGCCTTGACTCCTCTGACCAAGTTGGAAGCCTCGACCCGTGGGCGGATTTGGAGGAGGGCGGAGGATTAGGTACGCTACAATGCCCTTGCCGCTTTTGTCCTTTGCTTTCTGCCCCCCTCCTCCCACCCCATGTATCTCTCTCTCTCTCGATTTCGAATTAATTTGCCGTTCGGGAATTATGTAAAGCGGAGGACACACGCGCTCAGGGATATTTCATTTTTGGCCGCTCAACGACAATGTGTCGTGTTTGCTTTTTGCTTTCAATTTGCGGATCCCCGGGGCGTACCGGCCTTAGCTTAGCCTCGGAATTTACAATTATCAGAACTTGCATTGAAGGGAAATGTATATTTGCATTTCAATTTAAGGAATTTCAACATAGCAGACCCTTTTGAATTATGATTTGATTTTTTGATATCTGTTCATATTGCCCTTTACTTGTTTTTTTGTTTCTTCACTAAGTATTGTTTTATGAAAGTTTTTTGAAAACTCAAAATTTAAATTAATCTATTTAACTCGTTGACAGATTTGGAGATTTCAGTGCATTGTTAGTTATATAACACGAATTAATTAATTATTAGCTACAAATAACATTAGAATATTATATTACTTTATAATTATTATCCTCTCTGCTAATATCTCTTGCAAGAATACGGAAATTCCTGCTCTTTGCTTGCAAATTTAACTGAGAAATGACGACAGCTTTTTGCCCAGATAAGAGACGGCGTCGTCAAGGAATTTAACTATAGTTCTTGTATGTTCTGCGGTTATATAACACGCTCGATATTATCGGCCTCAACTAAGATTGCGATCGACAGCTAGGCGCATCTCTTCTTGATTGCGAAAATTACGACCTGAGCCCAAACTTTTTCATATAATAATTATTAACTCTCTCATCAATATTGCTTTAATAATCATTAACCTTTCCATAAATCTATCTTGCGTGGAAAAGTTGGCGGAAAAGTTGCTGCCAACTTTTTGACTAACTTCCCCAAAAGTTTCTCTCTGGCAAGAGAAAGTATGAATAGTGTGCGTGTGTATAGAGAAAAAGTGCAAGCATTCACGCAGTTAATAAATCACTGCAAATTTTCCTGTGCGCCCTCTCATCGGGAATGCCCGTCCTTAAGGAAATGTTGATAGGGCCGGGGGAGGGAAGCAGGATACATACCACTTTCCGGCGAAAAGAAACAAACTGCCGATCGTGACGAGTTGAGAGATCGTATATATTGGAATGAACGAATGGCAAAGTTTCTCGGTTTTGTAAGTACGGGCGGGCGGAAAAGCTTTTTGCCCGCTGTCACCCACGCTGCCGCTTTTCCAGCAATCAATAATTCGCCTGAAAAGTAGTTTAAATGCGAGAGTGATCGGCGCCGCGCCACCGTTTTCCTTAATTGCTCTTTCTCGTTGGCAGGAGGATACGCGAAATTCGTCGCGCTCAAGACGATCAACCCCGCGTTTAAGCCAATGCTCGCCCTAGGTGGATGGGCGAACTCGGCGGCTCATTACGCAGCGGTACGTAATACCCAGATGATTATGCAAATTGCCCGTTTAAAAGTATAAGCTGCTTAACCAGATTGCAGCCAATGCAACTCGCCGCGCCAATCTGGCCACCAACGTGGTCGCCTACTTGAAAAAGTACGGATTCGAGGGCGTTGAGATCGACTGGCTCTACCCCATCACCGCCAACGATAAGGTATATAAATGCTTTATTTAATCTGGAGAGCTTGTTTAAAGGGTCCCGCACCACTTCCACAAAATCAAGTATCATAATTCGTATTCTCATACTAATTTCTTGCGTGAAGATTTAAGCACGTCTTTATAAATAATTTTTTACTTATAATTTGAAGAAGATTCTTTCCTCTATTCAGACCTATTAAAAGATTGCAGCTACAGAAAATTTTAAACCAGAAAAAATTTAAAAAAAATATATATATTTTTTTAAAGAAATTCAAATATATATTAAGATTTTAAAGGCATTAATCTTTAATTTTAAAATTTGAATGAATCCTTTTTAACCTCAAAGTTGGGTTTTATGATTTCAAGAGAGTGGAACTTTTCATTTTTTTTTTATTTGCTCCCACTGCAACAATAATATTCCCCTTTTCAAAGGGGGCACCTACTATTCTCTAGTTAATCCCATTAGAATAATAAATTACGCAGATAATGGTTTTTTGCTTTTAGCGATAAGTAGCCTTTATGGATGCCAATGGCGTTTTGGTGGTGAGCCGCACCACACGGATTTAAGCGTATTTTTTTTTTTTTTTTTTGGAAATTCGTGTCATTTTTTTTCCGGCAGATTGCCGAAAGTGCTGATTTTTGCACCTCTTTTGGCGCCTATCGTCATAATCGCGGATTAAACTCGCTCGGAAAGTTGGTCTCCGACTTGATTTAACAGAGATTATGCAACCCCATAACAGCTACGCGCAGCATGTTGCCTACCCTCTCTACGTTTAGCACCTCGCTCCCTGTTGTGTTGCCACTTGCGAGGCATTCCAGCCCTCAGGGATGAAAGTGTTTTTCGTCAAAACACATTCAAATTATAATGGCTACATTTAAAAAAAAGTTATTTTTATTCCACCACTCTCTGCTGTTGATTTGGGATTAAAATTATGTTATATTTTCCAATCGTCGGGTGTCTGCCTGAATCGATCCCTTTGGTATTATATCTCATTTCCAATAAATGCAACATCTCGTCAGACCAACTTCCCTCTGCTGCTCAGCGAACTGAAGAGTGCCCTCGCTCCTGAAGGTTTCGAGCTGATTGCAACTGTCGGCTCCCTGGCAGAAACCATCGACCGCGCTTACGACATCAAGGAGATGGAAAAGTGAGTGAGTTCGTTTTGGTATACACATATTGATTCGTCCGTTCGTTGCGTCGAACGAGATGAAGTGAATTTTTCGAATCCATCAAAAACGTTGGCGCATTATTTATTGGACAGGAGCCTGGATTACTTCGTGCTGCTCGGCTACGACTACGACGGCCCGTGGAACCCGCAAACGGGCCTCAACTCGCCCCTTTACCTGGCCAACGATAATCCCCTTTGCGTGGTAAGTCTACTTTTGATTTCGGAATTAATTTTTTAAGCAAAACCCACTTTCACGCCGAGTATACATTTTGGTTCCGGACAAAAGACCAGAAAGATAAGCATGCAGCATTAATGAGAACTCTCTCCCTAAGTAGGGCCGTGGAAAGCGAAAGGAAGTCGACTTTTCGATATCCTGCCGGTGGTCACAAAACCTTTGGCAAAGCAACGAACGTCGTCTCCTTGAATATATAACACATTTTGCCAATCGATTTTGTCGGCATTAAATGAACTTTGGGCTTTGCAATCGACGTAATGGCCTGGCCGTTAAGATAATACCCAGATTAGACCGTTTTTCAGATATATGAGACGATAAAATTGTAGAAAAGTTAAATTCACATCCGAATCCAAATACACAGGTCAATTATTTTCAAATGCTTCCCCCCCGTATCGATTTTATTTTCTATATTTTGCTTTTTTAATAATCATGTTGCCTTCTGTAACTTTATTTTGAAAAACATGTATAAATTTTATTATATTTACTCTTACAAAAGTGCTGAAACTTTTCTTCACATTTGTGCCCAGACTCATTTATTTCATAGCTCTACACATTCACCAGCGAAAACCGTAAATTACCCGAGCCCAGTCCCCAATATTAACTTTGGTAATAATTGTTAAAATCGCAGAATGCGTCCGTCAACGCATTCCTGCAAGGTGGCCTCGCGCCTGGAAAGCTGATTGTGGGCATCCCAGGTTACGGACACACATTTACCCTCGTTTCCGAGCCGGAAAATGGCATCGGCGCTGATGCGATTGGAGCCGGAGACGGAGGCCCTTGGACTCAAGCACCTGGTACTCTCAGCTATAATGAGGTCCGTATTATATAGGAGTAGAGAGCAAACTCCCTGACAAGCAAGGTTACACTGTTTTCAACCTGCTTATTTTTTTGCCCACAAGACGCTAATGACAAAATTTTGCTCTTCTTTTGCAATAGTTTGCTGCCAACGCCGCTGCATGGACGGTCCGCAGGGACACGCTGAGCCAAGCGCCCTATGCTTACAAAGGAAATCAATGGCTTTCTATTGAGGACGAGACTTCCATCGCGTTCAAGGTGAAGTTGGAATGCATTTGCAATTTACTGTGCATCTCAATTCAGTTCAATTGCCTTAATGATTAGAACTTTTTCCAATCAGAAAATCAGTAAGAAGTCGTTTCAAGAAAAAGACAATCAAATTGAATATCGTAGTCGCGCGCTACTACTTATTCGTCGTTTGGCAAAATTATCGTTCTTGATTAGATAATAGCTCTGAATGTTGTGCTCGGCTCAACCTTGTTATTTTGCTTGACCGAACGTCCTCTTTCCCTTAATTAGACGGAGTACATTGTTTCGAAGCAACTGGGCGGAGCTGCATTTTGGACAATTGACGAGGACGAGTTGTCCAACCAAGCGTACACCCTCCTTCGCGCAATCAACACTGGTCTTAAAAAAAAGTAAACGCGATCAGTTGGTTGTTGTATTAAATTTAAAAATAAATTTATTGTTTAAAAAATAGCATTAACAGTGGTGTTTTGATAACTAAGTAACCAATGAATAAATCATTTCATTAAAGCAAAACAAAGAAGCATAATAATTAAACTGATAAATACACGGTGGACAGTTGGAAGAAGGAATTTATAAGTTATTCAAAAATTAAGTATCGCCTAACTAGTCCAGGTCCTTGCTGAAGGACATGGTTGGTGGGCCAGAACTTTCACTGAGGGCAATATCATGCAATTCATCTTCAGCTCCGTAAGAGTGGTGGTCACTCATAAGTGTGACAGTGTCCAACGTCACTGTGGATGTGGTGCTGCCGGACAGCGAGTTGGCAGATAAAGTGCTGTTTGAGCGCATTACTGATCCAATAATGTGATGAGCAGCGCTTTCCCCTGCATGGCTTGTCTCATTGTTGGAGAACATGGAGGCTAAACGTGGAAAAAATAATAAATAAATAAATAATATATCATAAAAATAAAGAATCTCTGGCTAATGTATGTATTATTTTTTTAAACAGTAAATGAGTTTAATTTTAATGTCTAATAATTAAAAACTAAATTTTTTATGTTAAATTACCTGTTGATTTAACAAGGTACACAGGTGCATACACTGATGAAGCGAATTCCTCAAAAGTTGATGGGATTTTGTAGTGGTCGGCAATTGTCAACAAAGCTTTTGTTCTTTCCTCATAACTACAAAATATTATTTTGATTGCAGGATAATTCAATAAAATAAAATATTCCTACTAAGTTTGGTACATGGGGAGCATGCTCCTTTTTGCTCTTGACGCTGCAATGGCGGTTGCCCTGACGAGCATTGGCAAAGCCTGATGGCCCACAATAGATTCGTTGAAGAGTGGCCCAAAGTAGGGAACATCTTTCTTGCGATTTACTTGCACACGGTACAAGCGGTTGGGAAGGGGATAGATGACCATCAGGATATCACAAAACTCGGTTGGAATGATGCCGCGCCAATAGTCAGAGGAATTCTCAGACCAAACAATGTGGACTTCGTCATTGCCAAGGTGGCGTGTCTTTTATGCAATTCAATTAGATTATTTATTAACAACACTTTGTTTAAAACTACCTTTTGAAGCAAACTTTCCTGGCTGGAGGAAGGCATTCTGGTGGCGCCGTGGAACATAACTTCAACGAATGAAGTCGCATAGAAAGGCGCTGTGTCACCAGTGCTCTTGTTTTTCTGCAACCCACCCATAAATCCAGTGTGGCTTTCCAGTTCGACCTTATTTTGGAAACAATTAATTTTTGAATATTAAAATAAAAGCGAGTTTTTACCTCCCAAGCCAATCCAGCAACAAACTCTTCATATGCAGCGCTTCCAGAGGTGTTTGACAAAATTGAATTTTTGTCCTCCTGCCCGTCCGCAACGTAAAATACTGCAATTTTGTGCGTCTCTCTGCAAATCTGTAGAAGTTTATACATAAAATTTTATTTCCACAGAAAAAAAGATAAATTTCCATGCCTTCGCATCCAGGTTTCTGATTTCTCTGATAAACTTCTCATCTTTGCGAAGCAAATTGATGTGAGATCTGCGTTCCCAGCCAGTGTATCCGAAGTGGGAAAACAATAATTTGCACAGTAGGAATGACAAGGTTGGAGTTCCCGGAGTGTCTGGGTGGCATTTTGAGGCCATTAAACTATGTGAAAAATTGATCAATTGTATTCTCAATTTAAATTTATGAATCTGTCTTACTACTGGTGCTCTTGTTCCCTGTTGCAACCAATAAACTCTTTTTCATTTTTCTTCTGACTAACGATGGACGCGATAGCTTCGACTTCGACCCTCGGATTGAGTGGAGGGGCAAATTGCGCTGCCACATTTCTTGGTGTGTCAAGGGCTTTCAAGCATTCTGAGCTGGTGTGACCAATGTATTGCAGAAGCTAAAGTAAATTCCATTAGTAAAAGTACTAATAATTTAAATAGAGCTCACATCATCAAGACTATCCATGTCATCTTCTGCATTTTCAAAGTTCGGAAGGATGTTTGGTGGTTTTCGCCGGATTAACTTATGCATCGAGGCAGCGTTTTGTTCCACAATGAATGAGCTGATTGAATTTATGTACTCTAGGTCTTTGGAAAAGTCTGCAAATGATTGATATTTGCATTAACTTTTAGTCTTAATTCAGATCAAATCAATAGAGAATTTAAATTTTGGCTAAAAAATTAAGGATCAATCCAAATAATATTACTTGGTGCAGGAGTTGTGCACTGAGCTTTGTCCTCCTCGTTGCAATACAGGAGTGATGCGTCCCAACATGTTTTCCAGCCGCGATCACGAAGAATGAGTCTCACTTGGAACGGAGCGGCACAAAGACCAAAAGTCACACCACCAATTGTTGGCTCCGGCGCTGGCAACTCAATCATCGACATGATGATTTTATTATTGACGGCAAACAGTTGAACGTTGGGCTCTGAAAAGACCTGAGTGTTGAGCTTGCTGGTGTTCAAGCCAGGTACGTCATCATTTTCCTCAGCTAGGGACGAAAGTCGTGCCGCCCTAGCAGCCATCGGAAAGTGGTCCAAGTGGCGCAGAAGGTGCGTCAATACCTTTGAAGCAAACATTATTTTTCATTTAAAATATAATTATAATGTGTTATTACGGCTTTTGCTGCAAGTTTCAAGCTGTTGATAGCATTTTCGTTGAAGTTGTTTTGATTGTTGCTCGGCAGCAACGAGCCTCTACCACCTTGCCATGGTCTTTCTTTAAGGTCGTCAAACTTGATGTTTGGATCAAAGTCCGAGTCCAAGGGAGGGAGTGAAACATGTGTTTGGTTCTTTGCTAATATGCTATTTAAAACCTAAAATCAAGAGCATATTAAAAAATTTCTACAGCACAGGCAAATAATGTACCCTAAACACGTTGAGCAGCAAACAACTGCCAGCAAAAGACTTCATGAGCAGGTAAATGGGTAGTCTCATGCACCACTCGCCGACACAGAAAATTAGACTAACCAGAAGACGCCCTTCATCCTCAAACATGGGTGTTGTGAGAAGACTGTGAATTGTATGCACAATAGTCTGAAATATATTTTTGGTCAATTAAAACCCTTATGACATTAATTATTTCTTAATACCTCTACGATAAGGAGCGAAACATCAGGATGCACTTTAAGCAAAGCATCAGTGTTGTCTGCCAGGAGCAGGAGGTTTTCTATGGCTACTTTAACAATAGTTTTGTGGTTACACTGTTGAAAATTTTCATGAATGTTAAATGAATCCATGCATCTATTAAGTAAAATATTACCCTGAGTGACATTAATAATATACTGATTGCATCTCGCATCTTTGGGTGGGAATTTCCCTGTCGTAATTCTTCGCACAAAAATATACCGATGCATGACAAAGCAATGCAACGGGCTCTTCCTGATTGCTCCATTTTTCCAAACCTCAGCAGTAAACTAAATATGTAATCCTAAATTTAAAATAATAAAAATTTTGTTTTCATATAACTTTTGTAAGAACATACTTTTGTATCAGACGAAGTGATTAGTGAGTATTCGGTACTGTTCGGATTCAGAACTGCATTCTCCACAATGGAACTTAGGCTCAATAAGGCACCAATTATCGACATGGCTTCAGTGCGTGGCACCTGAATGCAAAGTTGAAAAAAAGGCAAAATTAACTTTGTGAAAAACTCACGCCACGTATGTCATTTGATCCAATGACAGTATTAGAGGCCTGAATGAAGTCCAGCATCAGCAATGTGTGTCCAGGCAGCATCAACGAAAAGAACCGAGTTCCACAATGCCTGACGAGGGCATTGATTACCGGCTGATCAAGGTAAACACCACAATTAGTCTCGACAAACATTGCAATATCAGGCGCAACATAATAAAAATGATGAACAAAGAAAGCAAAAAACAAAAAATATTACATCTGAAAGGCTGATCTTGCTACCATCACCTTGAGTGACAGGAACAGGCATGCAATCACGTGCCAAAATCTTGCAAAAGAAAGATTCAACAAGAAGTAAAGATTATCATCACATTTTCAAAAGTACATGACATACTTGGTGGGTCCCTGTCAGTCCCAAATGCAGAACTCGATAAAATTCAATGACATTGTCTTTGGGTAAGTTGATGTCTTGGCAGGACAAGATCAGGTCACAGAGCAGTTCATAAGCACAAACCTTGCCTCGGTTATAGTCATTTGGAAGGACAAGGGCCTGTAAAAGAAATCATTAGGCAAAAATTTAAGTTTCAAGACAATTTATCCACCTTAAAACACCAGGGAATGATCACTAGAAAGGGTGGGGTGAGCTCAGAGGACGGTGACGGCGAGTTAGGTTCGAGCACTAGGTTGTGATTTGCATTTATCTGAAATGAAGGCAAAAATGTGGTATGGAGTTTTTGGCACAAGAGTAAAAATTGCTTACCTTGAGAAGAGTCTTACTAAGTTCTATTAAGTACTCAAAAACTTGTACATGCAGGTTGGGGTGGACAAGTCGGTTGACATCGCCCAAAGCACCAAGCATGCGACGCCACAAAACAACCACCACTTCCGGACACCACCCCCTCAGGTTTCCACCCGCCATCACAGATCGGTGTTCCGAGTTGGAACTTGGGTCATAGCTGTTTCCGTCAGCCGAGATGTTGTCCATTTGCATGATTGAGTCTTTGACCAAACTCGCACCAACCCCACTGGATGGTGAAGGAGAAGGGGTGCGAGTTGGCGTTTCCGATCCGGGGTAAACCAAACTGTTATCCTTTGGCAGCGAGATGGAGTCAAGCGAGTATGATCTTTTAGTACAACTTGACCTTTTGATGTGCTCAATCTCTTGCTCTGGAATAATCAATGTTGAGGTTCATGAAATTTTGGGACAAAAATTGCACATTACCAGGAAATCTAAATATGCTTTCTTTTACTAGTTGGGCAGAGCATATCTTGTTAGCTACAAGGTAGCTGTCACTGAAGCTTCGCCTCAGCCCACGGTTCTTCCTCAACAACTGGCAAACACCTGACACCTTGACTTTAGCAAATTCATTGCCATCTGCTCCACAAACGGAGGAACCTACGTTTAAAAGTTAAGCACTTATTTAAAATTTGCTAATTGAATAAATACTTGGTAATGAAGTATTATCAGCAAAAGCGTGTTTTGGGCTCCTTGCTGAGAGTCGACCCAAATCCTGCATATTCGAGTTAGGTTGTTGTGGGATCGTTACATGTGGCCGTCGTTTTACTTTTTGATCCTTCATTCTGTCAAGTGGCAAATCATCCAGGTCGAGTTTGTAAACTTGGCGAGCCATTACTCGGGTCAAAGTGTCCAAAGTTTTCTACAGAATGTAATGAATCAATGAAAATGTTTTTTTTTCTATTAGATTAAATTTACGGCCCACTCTCTGATCAACTCTTCCCACTGAGTGAGAGATGATAAGACTTGATAGAAGTGATCCCACAGCTCGTTACTCACGACCACATTCAAGTTTGCTTTAATCCATGTCACTATAAGTGTCTGCAAAATGGAAAGTTGAGAACAAAGTAAATAAATAATTATAATTGAAATTACTTGAAACAATGCTTGAGCCAGTTTTCCTCCAAGAGTGTCGTCTTTACGCTTTGGAGGTATTTTTGTGATGACTTGGGAGGTAATTTTCAAAAGAGTCAACAGCAATTGCTCCCTGTTTAAAATTCAACATCAAATTATTATTTAAAAAATAGCTACTGAGCGCTTTCAGGGCTATTTTTCCGATTTAATCCCTGATAGCGTAATAGTTTTTTTTTTAAACGACATGTTCATTTATGGATTAATTACCATGTTTTTGTTTCCATCTTGGTCCTCATCACCATGTATCTGTAAATGTTCAGCACTCTTTTGCATGCATCAACTTGTTCCTCCAGCAGAGATGGGTAGTCTTGCCCAACCTCCAGTAAAAATAGGTTTGCAGCGTTTGTCATAAAAATCAAAAGAACGTTCTGCAAGAACCTGTTATAATTTTTTAAATTTTAAATGAGAAAAAAATACTGACCTGAAGTCCCGCTTGTACAAGTACATCTTCAGGCAAACTGGAATGTGAGTCCATTCTTGAATCGCGGCCTCCATCAACCTATAAATTTTGTAATCATTTATTTATTCCAAACTGGATATCATCAAATTCAACCTCCATGCTGCTTGACTCGCAAGAAGGAAGTCGACCTCTCCCTGGTTCGACTGGTTCTAGGATGAATGGTGGAATGTCCGGTGCAGTCATTTGGATCCAATCTTTGTAGATGGCCAACGCTTTTCTGACTGCTGATGAATGGGTGAAGTTCAGTAGGAATGCTTGTCGATACACTTCGTGCACAAAGTTGACATTTTCCCTAGAGCCATAGAGCACCTCTCGGCATAAAAAGAGGGCGATTGAATTACTTCCACCGTCCCTAAATCAAAAATGAAATTTTCTATGGAATCTAAAGCATTGTAAATAATTATACCCGTCCCCGTAAAAACTATCAGCATCGCTTCCTCTGTGCTCTTGGAGCGAGGAATCTGGTCCTTGGCTCATGACACTGGCCCGTCTGAAATCTGGCATTCCGTCGTCGCTTGTGGCGTAAAGCGTGTTGCCAGTCAGACTGTCCTTCTTGCTTGCCTGAGCAAAGTGTGAGACCCACTTGATCACATTAACCCGACAGGCGACAAACGGATCTTGCTTCTTGCCGTTGGGAGTGTCTATTAATGTGGACTTCTGTTTCCGTGTTTCAGGGAAATCTACAAAAATATTTTATTGGAATGTAAAAATAAATGATTCACTCAAAATTACCTAAGTTGACTTTGTATAGGCTTGTGGAGTACAAAAAATTGGGAAAAATGTGTGGCAGGTAGAACTTCTTGAACATCTCCAAAAGAAAAGAAAAGCATTGGTGTTGATGGGAGTATCGATCACGCCATTCTATTCTGGTCACCTAAAATTAATTTACCTATTTGTTAATTATCAAAAATATTAAAAAAATTTAAATTGGAACAAAAGTAAATAAGGTAGGGTTTTTTGTGAAATTTATAATCATGGACAAATTCATTTCAGACTGTACCTGCGAAACCATCAGTTCCAAAAGTGTGTCCAAAACCGATTGCATTCTCTCATCCAAATGCTTTTCAATGCTCTGGGACATCAAAACAGGTTGGATTTTTGCTGCACTTGCTTGTTCTAAATTGCACAAAAATAATTTAAAATGAAAAACTAAAAAAAAATTTTTTACCTTCGATTCCATCTAAAAACATAGTGTATGGTGTGTCATTACACAAGGCAGAAAACCTATCTCCAAGTTTTGGTGTAGGGAATCCTGGCACTAGGGTGGCAAAAATTGCGTGCAGGATGTCTGGAGAATTTTCTCCTATAGCTTGGTACCATAGGAGGAAGAGTCTAAAAAACAAATTAAGGTCGGATGAATAAAAAGTTGTTTTTTACCTACAAAAGTTACCAACCTTATTCCTTCTTTCCTTACTCTCCAGGTGTTGTCGTGGTGCAGCAGCTTTAGCATTATCCTTGTCAGGCTGTAGCATTGCCACCGTTTTGAGAGTAACTCTGGCAGCAAAATCAGAATTTTTTCCAAAACAGACAGCACCAAGTCTAGCTCCTCCTTGTGCGTTTTTTGAACTGCGAAAAAAGACACTTTAAAACATCCTTACGTGAAATCAGTGCTCACTTTTCTGTTTCAAGTTCGTTTCAGCAGCTAGAAAACTCTCGTACAGGATACTATAGATGTGACTGAAGTTCGCTTCAAAAAACGATTTGGCCACTGCCGTTTCCACGTTGTCTAAAATTTGAAGTCAATTAATAAAATTCTCGATTAAAAAATAAACTATAGGCAGTACCAATAACAATTTTGACGTGCTTAAGTCTGGTAGCACTGTCTCTCTTATAGTCCTGAATTTTCAGGGTGGACTTCTTGATGTCAATGCTGATCTTTTTGGCAAACATTTTGCCAAAATTATTGTTCTCTTCCAAAACTAAGGCACTTTTTGCTTGATGGCAGACTCCACCAAGGACGTCATCGATTCAATCGGCATCCTTGGCTGAATCACACGATAATCCTCAAAATTTCTGTTCACGTCTGACACGGAAAATGGTAAATGATAAAACGTCAAAACAAGTTTTTACGCCGAGTGATTCCGCGAGAAACGCCGAACGGTCGCCGACGCAATTCACGTCATTCTTCACGCCGACCGTAATAAGCCGGAAGTGGTGCGGCCGAATTTCGGCAAGTTCGTCCTCTCGTCGATAAGAATTGTCTGAAATAAATTCTACTTATTTGGACGTCGTAACACCTATATTTACACACCTACATTTTTACGTGAGAGTGGGCGGCGCCCTCACCTTTGTCAAGTGGAGCGACGGCAGCGCCTCGCTGCGGCCGTTCAACAGACTCAACAGAGTGGGTTCGTGACCTTCGTGAGATGTAAACATGCTGAGTGAGACATGACCTGGTACAGTACACAAAAGCTCTGACCTGTGACCTGTCCATTTCCATTTACAATTTGTTTTTTGCTCATTTTTTTGAAGGGAAACTGGTGAAAGAATAATGTTGTGGATTAGAGAGGTCGGAAACTTCCTCTTCATGTTACATTCAGTAACATTTTTTTTGCATTATTTGATAAGTTTAGAGGACGCAGCAAACATAAGATATATCAGATATATATGTATTTTTTTTAAATAATTTTAGAAGATTTTAAAATACATAAATATATTTGCATTACTTATATTTAGGTACTCAAATTCATTGATTTTAAACTTATTGTTTTAGTGTTTTAGAAATTCATGTGTAATTTTAATTTACCATAAAATATAATATTTAAAATTTTAATAATTATGAAATGCATATATGCATTTCATAATTATTTTATAGAAAAGGGCTATAGCCAGTCATTTCTCCCTTTTCTATAATATCTGATATATATCAATACAACTTTTTAATTCTAGGAAACTTCATTTTTAAACAGATCTGCAGTATAGACACTTATACAGCCACAGATTCTGCATTATTATTGTGCTATTATAATGGAAGACGACGATGACATCCAAATTCTTCGTGAGTTCAGTGAGTTAAAAATAATTATATTCCAACCTTTGATTTTTATTTACAAGTTCTTTTCAGCAGCACCTGAAGAATATTCCAGTCATGCCATTGCCAAAGCTTTGCCAGATTTGGCAGAACAATCTAAAAAGCAGCCATGTGCTCTCATTCAAGCGGCACCTCCACCACCTGTTGGTCCTCAGCCTGTTGCTGGAAATGTAGACGGAATGAAACAGACGTCATTGATTGTATTACCGACAGGATCACTACCTAGCTCTTTAAAAAGACCCATCCCAATCTTAACATCAAAAAGTGACCCTCAAACTGCTCCTCTTTTGGCAAATCCTCCAGCCAAACTTGTGCTACTAAGTGGCATTGAAGGTCAGCCACTGTCTGCACAGATGGTGACATTTTTAAAAACCATTCAAGGTGCTCCTAATCTGGCTAATCTTGCTGGGAAGCAAGTGAAGATCAGAGGTGAGCAAGTAACTGGAGGAAATGTTAAAGTGGTTCGAGTCGTCAAAAGTGGCACTTTAACTTCTGCTGCTTCTCATCTCGGTGCTCCTGGAACCACTTTGGCTAGTTCTTGCAAAGAAGATATTCTAGCCAAGCTTGTGCAAAACAAGAGCAATGGAAGTGGAGGAGAATCTAATGGAAAGCTGAAAGTTGTTCTAGTTACTCAACCTGCAGCCACTAAAAATCCAGTCAATAATACAAAGAAGGAAGTTCGGACAAAAAGATTCAATCCATACCAATTTCAGCCATATAAATTTAGAACTCGCGAGCAAGTTCTTCGGATCATTAGCAAATACGAACATGTGAAGAGACTGAGAGAATTGGGCAAGATGGCAAGTGAAGCAACCAAGTGTGATAGGAAGTCAATTGAAATGTTTCTTCTACTTTTGAAGATTTTGGAATTTGTTGACAACGGAACAATAAAAACTGCTGGAGACGACATAAAAAATTTTCTCAGTCCAGTTTTGATCAGCAGGGCGCTACTGGCAAGAGACAATATTGAATTGGCAGCTTCCGATGATCCAATATACAACTCGTTTAGAAAGTCCAATAACTACCCCATTGAAGTAGAACTCTTGAAGTACTTTGTAACTTGCAAAGAAAAGGGAATTGATGTGAGCAAGAATACTTTACGTTCTCAGGCTTCTATCATAGCTGATGCTCTACAAATGCCGGAATTTGTTGGAACAGATTACTGGCTCATCAACCTTTTGCAACGTAACTTGATCTACCAACATGAGGAAGGCAATCTTTGGTGCAATAGGCAGGATTTGGAATTTATCATTGATAAGTATGCCATTTCAAGTTTGTTTTTGTATGCCAGGTACTAAAATAAATTGATCTTTTAGATTAAAAACCATTGAGAACAAGAAGAAAAATAACGAGGAAGGAAGAGAGAGCATCAGTAAACATAAGCAAAAGAGGAAGGTTGAGAAGTCAACAAAGAAAACAGCAAAGGTCAAGGAAAGCAGTAAAAGCGGAGAGAATCTCTTAACAGGGAGTAGGACAATAATTGATGCATGTGAAGAGCCACCAGCCCCAGATGAAGAAAATTTTGACGCTGCTGAAATACAGGAAGTGCCCCCTAAGAAGAAAAGGAAGAAAGAAATGCCTAAAAGTTGTAGGATTTGTTCTGCTGACTTGTTTGAAGCAGGTGGCCTTCGCTTAAGAGATTTCAACATCAAAAAGGCAAAAGCCTGGATCAGGGAATTTGTTGGTTATGAGGTTGGCAAGAAATTATTCGGCGTAATTTGGCGCTTGATACACAAAATTGTCTTTTTTAGGTGGTTCCTGTTGAAAAAACGGACGGTTCAGAGTTCCCTTTTGGCATTTGCTGGAACTGTGTTCATCACTTCAAGAACTGGATCAAGCAGTTTGGGAAACCCTCACTTGAGTACTGGTCGGAAGCAGAATGGGCTGTATGGAGTAATTATATGATCGCTTCATAAATTTATCTTTATTTTATCTAATAATTTATCATTGCAGATGCCTATCAATGCACGGTTGAAACCAGCACTCAAACTGAATGTGAATTAGAAGAAGTTAGCTGTATTAACATTGACATTTCCACTCCGGACCAATCAAAACCAGATAATGTCAAAGAAGAAAACTTAGAATTTGAAAATGCTTCTGAACCTGCGGATTGTATCTTGCCTGATGAAACTGAGATGGAATGTGACCCTTTATTTGATCCTCTTAATTTCAAACCAGAGCATGATGATGAGTTAGAGCACAAAGATTTTACCGAAGATCATTTTTCCACAACTGTAATGCCTCCTGCTTTACTTATCAAAACTTCACCAAAACCATTGAAATTTGGATCACCAAACCAGGGCACCCAGGTAGACGAAGATGGATTGCTTTGCCCTTTGTGCAACAAAATGTTTAGAGATTGGCGACAGCTCTTGGGCCATAACAGGAAGTGCCAAATAAAAGAATTCCAGTTAAAAGCAGACCTTGTGAGGTGCAAGATTTGCAAATTTGCTTCATTCAATGAAGAGGACGTCAAAAGCCATTCTTGCACAAGTGATAAGAGTTTCTCAATTGAACATGCATGCACCTTATGCAAGGTTGGATTCAGCTCCAGCAGCGTTTTCTGGAAACACGTTTGCCTGTAAAATAAACACAGATTTAAGTTTATTTAGCAACCCCATGATTTTATTTATTATCTCTAAACAGTTTTTATGTCTAGCTTGACTCATTTCCTGTCAATTAAGAAAGGAACTAAAGTTTATGAGTTGATTTGATTTCAATCTTTGTCGAAGTTTATCTAGCATCAAGCTTGCTGATATTGTCAAGTTTTGTGAATATGAATACATTTTGTTTTCAGCCCATTTTAGTTCTAATTGTAATGGGTCAAAGGTAAATGAAACAGTTAATATAGAAATGTACGCATTGATTTATTTTTGTACGATGCACTGCAAAAATGAAGCAATACTGACTGCTATGTTTCAGAGATCAGAAACATGTAAGAAAATGTTAATTATGTTGGCTCAGTCTTGCTTTTATTTGATGTTGGGAATTAACTTGAGATTTTATCTGGCAAGGCAGTACCAAATTCAGGAAAATAAATACCAGAAATGATTTGAGAGTCCAGTCAACTCTTGGAGCGCATCATATCGCATTAACAGAATAACTTTTTACAACAATCTTATCAGATTCATTTTTTAAATTAAAAACTCATTTGAATAAGGGGCGATCACATAGTGGCAGTGAGTCGTATCTCTATTTGAGGAAATTTTCCAAACTCTCATCTCCACGCTACCTTATCAAAAATATTACAAACTAATACAATCTGCGCTGAGCAGGAATGATTTACTAGAATTAACATAATTTGGAAGTTCAGCTAGTGTCAGTCAAAAACACTTCGCCCTTTTTCTGTTAGTTTCCTGATCCTTCCTCGGCTGCTGACACTGACAGCAGGCTGCTCATTTTCATCGTCTTCTTCTTCCTCTCCACCACTGTCAGAGGGGATGCAAATTCTATTCTTGGTGCGAGATGACTTCCTAACTTGGACCTCCTCTTCACTGAATTCTTGATATGAAACAGCCTTGAGTTGACGGCGATTTCTACCACTTGAAGGCTTTTTGATTGGTACACTTCGTTTTGGTCTCTTTTGTGGTTCGATGGTGCTACCTGAATCATCACTCTCTGTTTTCGGAACTTTCCTTTTAGTAGCAGCTCTTGCAGGTCTCTTTGATCTCATTTTGGTGCCATAATCTTCATCATCCGAATGATCATCAGAATCAATTTCTTCCTCAGAGACATCTTCGTCTGCAGATTCCTCTTCATTTACATCATCAGGGGCCACATTTGCAGACTCTGGTTGGCTTTCCCCAGGCGAACTGCCTCCAACATCAACTTCATCTTCGTCGTCACTCGAAGAACTTTTGATTTGGGCAACTTTTGTTTTTGATGGACCAGCACGCTTTGAGGACCCGTTAATCAATTTTGAGGATGCCAGGCCTAAGAAAATTAGACAGTTAGCGAGTGATCACTTTTGGAAATAAAAATTTACTTCTTAAAGATGTGCTACTGGAAGGGTCAGGAGACACTACAGGCATTTTGTTTCTGCTCACTTTGCTGGCCACACTTCCCTCAGAGTCACTCGAGATTTTTAGCCGTCTTGTCACTAGTTATATTTTACAGAGTTTAATTAATTTCATTAATAAAATTTTATGTAAATTTCACCTCCATTCAGGTGTGCAGATCTGGCTGCTCTAGTATTGGCCATGGAACTATTTGATGAGGTAGAACCTGACTTCTTGACAGCACTATTTTTAACAACTGCAGATCTAGTTGGTCTTTTGGACAAGCCATTAGCCGTTCTGACAGATTTTCTCTGCTGTGCCCTCCATTCATTGAGTATAGGATGACAAAACCACTTTCAAAAAAGTTGGACAGACGCACAGACATAGAGTAGACCTGTGAATGAAATTCAAATGAATAAAATTTTGCTAAATATCTTAAAAAACAATTACCATTGTTTTTCTGTTAGTGTTGTAATTTTTAGAGTTAGTAAATATCATCCTCATATCTTTTCCAAACTCATGCAGCGGGATCATTGTACTCTCCAGCTTCCATTGGCGTTGTGACCATGGCTATGAGAGGTGGCCAAGTGTTCGGCAGTTAAGTTGCAGTCTTGAGTAAAGCTCTTTTCGCTGGATGTTTGATTTGAGCATCTGTGAGCAGTTTTCCCTGCCCAACAATAGATTGACAGCATTGTGTGTATCTGGGCTAGGCTTCTGGAATGAATGGGAGTAGAGGTAGAGACGAGATCGGCGCTCGGAGTTTGTGTTGATGGGCTGGAGGAGAGAATCCTTTCCTCGCCCGCGAATGAGACCATCATCTTTGACTAAATCTTTGGGTTTGCTGGATAAAAGTGGTCCTAAGCGCTGGCTAACGTTGAGCAAGTGGCCATGACCCAAGAAGGCAAGAAGTGCGAATATGTATTAAATTTATTACTTGATTTACTATTTGGGTTCCATGGCCGTGCTGCCCTCTCCACCCAGTGCACACAGACGAAAGATGCAAGTTGAGAAACAGCACCTAAGGAGGGCAGCACCGGCCGTCCAGCTGGACAAGTCAACAATAGAGCAATAGAGCAATGCCGGCCACGGCGGCCACCAATATCCAGCCAAGTATCCAGCTCCAACCGGAGGCCGTGGCCTCTCTGTGCCCCTTCAGAATCAGTCTCTGTGGTCTGTGCTGACAACGATGGTTTGTCAAATCGAAACTTCAAATGCAAATTATCCCAACGGTCGTTGAATTTCGTAGAGTGAAAAGTAAAAATAATTAAAATGTACTCGTGATTTTTTTAAAATTAATGTGCGATTTTTATCAACCAATGTAAATGTAAAACAAACAACGTAACATGGCGTTCATGTGGAGGAGCGACTCTTTTCCAGTATGGCAGTCTTCGTGATTTTCAATCCGGTTGGAGTTCTTTTCACTTCAACAGTCTCCACGCGCTTGGTTTTGGTTTTTTCAGTCCTCTTTACTTCCAGGGTCTCGAACGTAACATGGCGTTCATCGGGAGAAGCGCGTCTTCTCGACGATTGAGGTCTTCTTCATCTTGAGACCGTCGTCAGTCCTCTTGACTTCCAGGGTCTCGAACGTAACATGGCGTTTATGTGGTGTGGAGGACCGCGTCTTTTCCAGTGTGGCAGTCTTCGTGATTTTCAATCCGGTTGGAGTTCTTTTCATTTCAACAGTCTCCACGCGCTTGGTTTTGGTTTTTTCAGCCCTCTTGACTTCCAGGGTCTCGAACGTAACATGGCGTTTATGTGGAGGACCGCGTCTTTTCCAGTGTGGCAGTCTTCTTGATTTTCAATCCGGTTGGAGTTCTTTTCACTTCAACAGTCTCCACGCGCTTGGTTTTGGTTTTCTCGACCTCAACCGGTCGCGGTTGGCCTCGCCCTCGACCTTGCTGACGTCCGGGGCGGGCGACAGCTCCATCAGCGAAATTTTCCATCGCGGTCTCTGGTTTGAATTCTGCCTGCCGTTGAGTTCGTTCAAAAAATTAAATCGTTTTGAATCTTATAATTCAATTCTTGTAAAAAGTGAATTGTTGCCGTGAATTGCAGAGGATTCTCAGACTTACGGCGATTATTGGCTGTTCGATTCTATTGTTGGTGACCATGTTGCAGAAGAAACAGTAAATAAACCTCCGATGTATATATTACATGTACCGTACGGTTAATGTATTAAAAAAAACTCATATTACTTAACAATGAAATTAGGTTATGCAATTATTATCTCTACAGAAATGCTTATTAGCACGTTAACGTTACCTATATACTTTTGCACTTGAGCAACGCGTTCACCATTGTCAGTATTGTTACGAGCAATACGAGCAGTAGCGTTAAAGAGGACTGAGAGATGACGAGTCTCTCCTGTGGGGAAACGTAGAACTGCTTTTAGCTTTGAGACATAATGTTATTAAAAAAAAAAAAAAAATACTTTAGTCCCCCTGATACATTTACATTTATTTTTCATCTGTTATTTTCATCTCTGCAACAGGTAAAAATTCTCAATATACACTTTAAAATATAATTATATGATTATGCATCATCCAATTTGAACATCGATCAACAACTAAAACTACAGGTTGATAAATTCCACTCTCTATCATCAACATCGAGTTACAATCAAAGACACGTTGAGAGCTTCAAGACGGGCGGCTGGCCGCGCTGCCTTGAATCCAGCCAAACATATGAGATCGATCCACTCGTGTGAATGTGTGCGAAACATAATTCATATTCCCTATAATATCTATCTAAGAATAATAAAATTTCTTTTGTTTGAAAAATTGACACTCAAGGAGATGAAGTAACACAATTATATTACTTTTGAGATGCATTCATGAAGAGATCGGGCCTTACCTTCGTTGAAAAAAATTATGGCTCTACCGTTTTGTTTACGGTTTCATGAGAAAGAAAATTTTTACTTACGTTTAATTGTTTTTAATAAAAAAAATTCAATGAGGAAAAGCTCGATCTCTTTTCATTTACATAAAAACTCATTGTTTAATATTTTACCAAAGCTTTTCTGTGCTTTTCAATAAAATCCTCTGCATTCTCAGCACACGCTGGAAGAACAACTAAAAGTATGTCTGTTACCCTATCTTTAGTACCTATAGCAGTAGGCCCAGGTCAAACCTTAAATTATTATTAATAATTTTTTAAAAATAACTCCACCATTATTTTATAGAATTTCTTGTTTTGGTTTTCGAGAAATTCTGGGAAGTAGAACTCTGGGGTCAACTCTTTCACATCGTTGGGATTGTCCATGAGAAGTTTCCACGTTTACGGAATTGAGTGAAACTGCCGGTCTGCAACGTCAAACCTAACAAATGGGGCAGAATATAAAACAATTCTCTCTATTTGTGGAGACAGTAGATATTATTTTGCGTACCTGCCACTCTGCAGCTCAATATAATTGAACAGGCACGCACTTATGCAAGGTTGGATTCAGCTTCAGCAGCTTTTTCTGGAAACATGTTTGCCTGTAAAATAAACGCAAATTTAAGTTTATTTAGCAACTCCATGATTTTATTTATTATCTCTAAACAGTTTTTATGTCTAGCTTGACTAATTTCCTGTCAATTAAGAAAGGAACAAAAGTTTATGAGTTAATTTGATTTCAATCTTTGTCGAAGTTTATCTAGCATCAGGCTTGCTGATTTTGTCAAGTTTTGTGAATATGAATACATTTTGTTTTCAGCCCATTTTAGTTCTAATTGTAATGGGTCAAAGGTAAATGAAACAGTTAATATAGAAATGTACGCATTGATTTATTTTTGTACGATGCACTGCAAAAATGAAGCAATACTGACTGCTATGTTTCAGAGATCAGAAACATGTAAGAAAATGTTAATTATGTTGGCTCAGTCTTGCTTTTATTTGATGTTGGGAATTAACTTGAGATTTTATCTGGCAAGGCAGTACCAAATTCAGGAAAATAAATACCAGAAATGATTTGAGAGTCCAGTCAACTCTTGGAGCGTATCATATCGCATTAACAGAATAACTTTTTACAACAATCTTATCAGATTCATTTTTTAAATTAAAAACTCATTTGAATAAGGGGCGATCACATAGTGGCAGTGAGTCGTATCTCTATTTGAGGACATTTTCCAAACTCTCATCTCCACGCTACCTTATCAAAAATATTACAAACTAATACAATCTGCGCTGAGCAGGAATGATTTACTAGAATTACATAATTTGGAAGTTCAGCTAGTGTCAGTCAAAAACACTTCGCCCTTTTTCTGTTAGTTTCCTGATCCTTCCTCGGCTGCTGACACTGACAGCAGGCTGCTCATTTTCATCGTCTTCTTCTTCCTCTCCACCACTGTCAGAGGGGATGCAAATTCTATTCTTGGTGCGAGATGACTTCCTAACTTGGACCTCCTCTTCACTGAATTCTTGATATGAAACAACCTTGAGTTGACGGCGATTTCTACCACTTGAAGGCTTTTTGATTGGTACACTTCGTTTTGGTCTCTTTTGTGGTTCGATGGTGCTACCTGAATCATCACTCTCTGTTTTCGGAACTTTCCTTTTAGTAGCAGCTCTTGCAGGTCTCTTTGATCTCATTTTGGTGCCATAATCTTCATCATCCGAATGATCATCAGAATCAATTTCTTCCTCAGAGACATCTTCGTCTGCAGATTCCTCTTCATTTACATCATCAGGGGCCACATTTGCAGACTCTGGTTGGCTTTCCCCAGGCGAACTGCCTCCAACATCAACTTCATCTTCGTCGTCACTCGAAGAACTTTTGATTTGGGCAACTTTTGTTTTTGATGGACCAGCACGCTTTGAGGACCCGTTAATCAATTTTGAGGATGCCAGGCCTAAGAAAATTAGACAGTTAGCGAGTGATCACTTTTGGAAATAAAAATTTACTTCTTAAAGATGTGCTACTGGAAGGGTCAGGAGACACTACAGGCATTTTGTTTCTGCTCACTTTGCTGGCCACACTTCCCTCAGAGTCACTCGAGATTTTTAGCCGTCTTGTCACTAGTTATATTTTACAGAGTTTAATTAATTTCATTAATAAAATTTTATGTAAATTTCACCTCCATTCAGGTGTGCAGATCTGGCTGCTCTAGTATTGGCCATGGAACTATTTGATGAGGTAGAACCTGACTTCTTGACAGCACTATTTTTAGCAACTGCAGATCTAGTTGGTCTTTTGGATAAGCCATTAGCCGTTCTGACAGATTTTCTCTGCTGTGCCCTCCATTCATTGAGTATAGGATGAAAACCACTTTCAAAAAAGTTGGACAGACGCACAGTCATAGAGTAAACCTAATGAATGAAATTCAAATGAATAAAATTTTGCTAAATAAAGTACTTAAAAAACAATTACCATTGATTTTCTGTTAGTGTTGTAATTTTTAGAGTTGGTAAATATCATCCTCATATCCTTTCCAAACTCAGCCGGATCATTGTACTCTCCAGCTTCCATTTGCTCTCTTACAGTTGAAAGGTCCATTGGCGTTGTGACCACTTGCAAATAGTCACTGAATTCAGTCAAGTCTACCGGCTCTTTGAAAGGACCTGCATCTTTATTATTCATAACGTTATGCAGTAAGTCGGAGCACCTACAAATACAGTTGAGTAACAGCAATTGAGCAATTTAGGAAAAAGATAAATTACTTCTCTTTCCATTCATCAGGGTCAGCTTCAGCTTTTTGCGGAGTTCTTTTCCTTGAGCTTTTCCTGAACGACCTTTTATTTCTATCATCCACATTTTGCTGGTCCTCTTCCTCACCCTCAGAGCTCTCGGATTTGTAGTTTTCTACCACCTTGTGATACTCGGCAACAATCTACACAAATCAAATAATGAAAAGTTTTCTTTCATCTTTATAAATATTAGAACTTACATCAATTTCAGTGTCTTGTTTAATTAGAGTAAGGCACAGTTCTGTCACTACATTAGCTTGCTTGACAATCTGACTTTTTCTCTGATTGAAAGTTTCTGCATTGCTGGCGATGTAACGAACGTCAAACTGAAGAGCTTGAATGCTCCGGTAAAAACGGTTCTCAAGTCTTGTTTTTACTGTGGTTAAGTCAACAGGGTATGCAATAACAAGTGCATAGGAGGGATAAAGACTCAAGTCCACAGGAGCACAGAATGGTTCTGCTACGGAGAGATCCATGATGCGGTCGATGCCTTCCAAAAGTCTTTGGCATTCAATATCTCTATCTCCACTAGGAGGCCAGGACAAAGGATCAACCGACTTGAACAACGAAGCCTGAATTTCCTCTGGAAGTACATCTATAGATCCACCTTTTTCCATTGGAAGTCTGTTGGGATCAATGACTTCCAAGTCCCATGGACTCATTCGTTCAAACTCTCCGTTGTCCCAGCGGACCTTGGGTAAAAATAAATTAGATATGGGCGGGCTATATAGGGAAGAATCAACGGACTAATCTGTTTAGGCATACCTGGAAGCACTGAAAAGGAGAATCGGGAAAGTCGAGATCTGCAGGGTTTTGCGCTTCAATTGTTCCAATCCACCAAGAGTCATCAATCAAACTGCGGAACGTCTCACCAACCTTCCAGTTATTTTCCATGGCTGCATCATAATACTGGCGTAGGACCAAGAAATCAATGACATCAGGGATGTCGTGGTATTTAATGTTGAAATATGACGTAAATGCACCAGTTTCAGCATCCATGATGGCCAGTCTTAAGCAGCACAGACGTGGAGGTTTGATTTCATACTTGATTCCTACAACTTTCACATACTCCACCTCTCGGAGCTCCTTCTTCAACCAAGGTTCGCATTTGACTCCAGGGTCATAGAATTTCTTGTTTCTGACAGCATTTAGATACTGTTGGTGGCCCTGCCGAAAGTAAACCACTTCGTCACCAATTTGAGGATAGTAAGGGGCCTTTCGAGGCATGACTTCAGCCAGCCAATCGGAGGGTTTGAACTGTTCAGGCACTTCCTTTATATTGCTTGCCAACAACTTTGCAGTGGCAGGATTTCGCACTGTCCGGGGAGGAGAGGTGTCCTCGTGGCGAATGGTCTTTTTAGGAGCTTGACGCAATCTGGAGTCTCTTTTCGATTGGCTTGGACCAGGCTCAGGGGATTCTGCTGTTTCGGAATGCTGTTCCTCCTCATCAGTGTCATCGTCCTCATTTTCTTGTGAACTCCTTCTTAATACCACAGCACGTCTCCGGCTTCTTTTGGGTGGCTGGAGTGTGGCCTGACGGTCAGAGCTCTTCTCAGCCACCCAATCAGAGTAATCACTGCTGTCTGAGGATTTATTCAAACTTTCTGACGAGCTGTCTGAAGATGAGTCATCAGAACTGCTGCTAGAGGTAGCCGAGATATTAGAAGGGTCCACAAAATCATCTCCCAGTCTAGAGGTTCTTGTTCTGGAAAAAGTTAAGTGTAAATATCTTCTCTTCTTTTACATATTTAAATTTATTTTTTAATATTAATACCTGTACGAGTGGTTGTTTGAATTTGCCCCATTTTCTAGGACTCTGTTTCGCAAGTTGTTGGGCTGTTTTCTTGGCGACTTGTTACTTTTAGGCAGCTGGGGTGAAATTGTTTTCTCTTTTAATGGTTGCTTCCTTCTTTCTCTCTCAAACTCTTCAATTTCCATATCTCCTAAGGCACTGCTTCTTTTGAAAATAGCTTTCTCTTCATGTTGGTTGGGGAGTTTCACCAGATCGTTTTTAAGCCACACAGAGCACCCGTTGCCGTGCTGCCAATTACTGCTGGACTGTCGCACACCCTCATTTTCACCACTTCTCCTCACACCCGCATTTCCAGATATTCTGTTTGGCTGTTGAGGTGGAGATCTTGCATATGCATGGTCATTGTTTGAAGGGCCGCCGTGATGTCTGGCCGCTAATTCTTCAATCATTTCATCGATGTTCGACCGAGCTGCTTGTTGGTCTTGCACTTCCTGATCTCCATCTGCATTAACAACCAAGTTAGGAATCAATTGTTCATCTTTTTGTTTGCCTCTTCCAGGGACAAGTCGCTGTAACACAGGTTGGTAAGGATTTCCATCCAGGTCAACCAAGAAAGGGGGAGGCATTAGGTGAGGAGCCATTTGAGTTTGCTCATCCAGCACCCAATGATTAGTATCTCTAATCAAAGGACGGTAGTCAGTGTGAAAAAACATGTCTTTAGGTAGCTTTTTGTAATTTTCATTTTGGCTAAGGCTAAAAATCAGCATGTGACCATGCGAGTCTGTGGCTGCAGCCATGGAGCCATCTGGAGACCACTTTGCATCATAAATAGCACCAAAGCCTTGGCCTTCAATGGTATTTTGGAAAGATTTCAATAGAGTGCCTTTAGGAATGTCCCAAATCATGATTTGGCCGTCATGGCCAGCACTTAGCATGATATTTTGGCAAACGGGATGGCGTTCCAGAACAAAAAATTCTTCTTTGTGTCCCTTGAGGCAGTGAACAAGTTGTCCATTGTGGGAGTTCCACACTCGCAGTACGTGGTCATTCACAGCAGTCACCACGTACTGGTCATTCATAGCCCAGGCAACCATAGAAACTTTCAGTTTTAACTTGGCTTCCTCTTCAGAAGGCTCCATGAGGCGTTTCTGCATGTCAAGAACTCGGTAGTGCCAATCTCTAGCTTCGTACCACCACACAAGAGCTGTTCCATCCTTGGATCCAGAAACAAAGCGCAAACCAGACGATGCCCATTGGATACTATCTACTCGATCAGTGTGCACTTCTTTCTCAAATATCCTCGTCGGACCTGGATTAAGGATGTATGAATTACATCTTTTTGTCAACTGATAGCAAATTATTGAGCAGAAATTTACCTTCTTCTCCAACCATATGGTAAACTCGGACATGGTGGTCGGCACTTGCAGCAGCTAGAAACACCCCACCATGACTGAATGAGGCACAGATAATTTGAGCTTGACCGGGACGCATTCTCTCGTGATATTGTATTGGCTTCGGATTGAACTTTACATTTTTCCCAAGTCTGTCATAAGCGTAAGTCCAAAAGGCCACTGAACCATCAGCACTAGTTGAAACTAAGTACCTAAAATGTAATGAAAAATTTTATCAGGTGCCTAATAGTGGTTTGTATGTCTACAAATAGAAAACAGAATATTTAATTACATTAACTGAGGTATTAATTATTTTTTTAACTTAAGTTCACCTGAAAGTGCCCGTATCTGGATATGGACACCATCTGACTGAGGTGATTGTCCCCGAATGGGCAGACAAGACAGCAACTGGGGCTGTGGTTTGTAAGCACCATACTCGAACAATTTTGTCTAGACTCCCTGCGGCCAACAGGGTGTTTTCTTGGTTGATGTCTATGTCTGTGATTTCCATGGACGCGCCTCTGAGGGTTGCCATCAGCCGCCCTGAATGTACGTCCCAGATTTTGACCAATAGGTCATCAGCTCCAGTGATGATGTATTTTCCAATGCGGTCAAAGAGAACGCAATAGACGGCTGAGAGGTGGCCAAGTGTTCGGCAGTTAAGTTGCAGTCTTGAGTAAAGCTCTTTTCGCTGGATGTTTGATTTGAGCATCTGTGAGCAGTTTTCCCTGCCCAACAATAGATTGACAGCATTGTGTGTATCTGGGCTAGGCTTCTGGAATGAATGGGAGTAGAGGTAGAGACGAGATCGGCGCTCGGAGTTTGTGTTGATGGGCTGGAGGAGAGAATCCTTTCCTCGCCCGCGAATGAGACCATCATCTTTGACTAAATCTTTGGGTTTGCTGGATAAAAGTGGTCCTAAGCGCTGGCAAACGTTGAGCAAGTGGCCATGACCCAAGTGCGTATATTTGGCTGCCTGTGAATTAATAAGGGTAGAAATTTAATATTGAATGGTTAGATTTACAAAATATAACTGATTTTTTTTCTTCAAATTTTGAATTACAAAATAAATGATGTAGCAAAAACGTTTATTTTTAATTATGAGTCCTACTCTTTGATAAACTTTTAAAGAATAATGAGCAGAGTGCGCGTGTTTTGTGATAGCTACGCCAGCAAATAGCGTCTCATGCAACGGCTGGGAACAAGAACCCGAGCCAGCGATTGGCTATGTGTGACGTAGTCACAACGATAGATGTATCCAAGGCCAACTAGGGATACTGTTGGCAAGGGTGGGAGATAAGTTTTTCATTTTTCTCAGGCCAAGGCCCAAATGGGCCCTAATTAAAATAATTTTGGGCCGTTTTTCAGGAAAAATCAAATTCTCTTGCTATTTTGACAGATGTGATACAAATTTGATTTTTTTTTAATTTAATTTTTCGGGCCGATTTTTCGGGCCGAATTTGGTCGATTTTGACTTACAAGTTCTTCAAAAGATTGCTGGTGTTCATTTCCTTCCCAGTCAAGTCTTCGTGGTAGAATCTGCAATAAACAAATTAAAACGGACTTTCAGGTCACCGTGTTATGAAAACGTAAGCGAAAAGTTAGGAACTGCAAGAGTCAAGGACTTATTTTGACAACGAACAGCACGTGGAGAACACGAGGAGAACGGAGACTACAAATTATTGCCATAAATTGAACACTCACCTTCTTTCTCTCCAACTCGCTTTTCAGAGCCTGCAAGGCAAACAAAATTGTTATTTTTTCCAGGTAGCTTTCCACAATTTTTCTGCATAGAACCAAAATAAAAGAAAAATACCTCGCCAATGTCACTGCAGGGACCGTCGCACAAAAATTTTGCGATCAAAAAGTGCAGCTCTGCAACAAAGCACCAAACGGTGGTTACGAATGTCGGTTTGAGACTCGCATTTTGACGGAATGCGACGGATGGCAGCTTATTTTCTTACCTGCCGAGGATGATGAGACCTGAGTTGAATTTTCACGATCCATTCGAGCTATTGCACTTGTGTGAGGATCACGAAAATCGGCGAATTCTCCCATTTTCTAATCATTGCTGGGTTACGTCCATTTTTAAGAGTTGAGTTTTGCTTTTCTTTTTGTGGCCGGCGCATAACACGCAGGCCCTCGTACTTGCTCCGCGCCAGGAAGTAGTTCTCATACTCCCTCTGTGCTTGTTTTGATTTCACTCCTTGTCACGCAATTATATTTTGCAGAAACTTTTAATTTAACGAAATTATTTTATAAGAAGCAGAAAATAATAAATTATTTGGACTTAAGCATATTTTAGACCATTCGCGCAAGTATACAGTACGAAAAATCCACTCACGCAGATTAAATGGCGCCAAGAATATTAAAAGTTTAAATCTTAGAATGGCTCTGAAAGACATGACTCGGTGCTGTTATCGCGGCACCAAATAAATAAGCAACGTGCGGTGCTAAAAAGATCGTGAAATTTTTAAGACGTGAACAAAACTTGATTTTAATAATTTTAAATATGCTTGAAAAATAAAACAAATTAAACACAATAATTATAAATTATTAATCAATGATAATTAAGTTATTTATGTATTAATTTATGATATCATTTTTTGCAATTTATCTAACAATTTCCCCGCTCGTGTTTAAAAAGTAGTATATTAGTAACTAATAGTTAATTAAATCTAGCAAAAAAATGCCATAATAGTCACAGTAATAAATTGCTTCCATTTTATTTATTTATTTATATTCAATATTCTCCATTCTATATACAGTCATGAATACACAGCAAAAAAAAAACTATATGTATAAATTACCGAAAATTACAGAAAAAGCTGAAAATACTTATAATTAAAGCCTTTGATGCATGATGCATCATGTTTCAGATTTTTGTAACAATTATAATGGCCCGGTATATAACATTATTTGATTATACTTTGATTTTACAAAGCAAGATGTATAGCACACATTTCACTTCACACTGATTAAATAATGTTAGGCACTAGTGTCCGTATTCAGGAGTGTTTTATGTGTATCATATAGCACTTTTGAAAAGCATTCTGGAGCTTGCAAGATGTGATAAGATTTAAAGGACCCACCAGCTATTAATAGACGCATAATTATCTGTATATAGCCATTAATATCGCAGCTTACGCTATTATTATCTCTGATGTAATGGACAGCTCATTACAAAAAAAGGTATTTAATTTGTGTCAAAATATAAATATGATAAAATTATAAAATTATTCTTCTCGTGTTGAGCAGGGTGCACTTTGCACCCAAGTTGCGTATGCAAAAGCGTTTAATATACAAAATTAATTTAATTATAAAATTATTCTTATTGATCTTATTTCATCAAAGCAAAACATCATCAAATTCATTTGAAGTATGTATAGAATTAATAGCAAATATTAAAATTTACATAAATGTTTGTTGATATGGAGAAAATATCGCATTCAAATTTGTTTTGTATCCATTTAGTAGCTAATAAGAAGAATATAGTATATTATAATTATGAATTAATAAAGAAAATTATTATTTTTTCATAAAAATTTTTGAACAATTAATTATTAAAAATTTCAATTTAATTTATATTAAGTACCTTATAAAAAATAAAAATGTCTCATTTTCTCAAATAATGATAATAATAATAATAGAAATGAAAGTCGAGGTCGGGCTTGTCGACAACGAGGACAAGCCCGACTTCTTCATTTCATCTCCTCGAGTGTCAACTTCTTCAAACAGTAAAAATAAAAAATAATAAATAAGGTTTCTTTTCTTATTCATATTTTTGATGTATTTAACTATTGAAGCTTTGTTTTAGAGATCACTCTTAACATACAAGTAACATAATATATGATAAACAAATTTTATTTAATTTTTTTTTTTTTTTTTTTTTTTTTTTTTAATTCATCTGGATAGGCTATGATCCTGCCAAGCTCCATTCGGTGTTTATCGGCTGGAAAGCCTACCAAATTAGGCAGGTGCCGCTTGAATTTATGAAATGCCCCAATTTGGTGCAGGAATTCCAACAACTGGAAGAAACGGCACAAACCTCTAGCAGGCAAGTTCGGCGCCTTGCGACACCTCCTGAATGTGAGTGACAATACAGAGCACTTTTTGACGCGCTAACAATGTCAAAAGCTTTGAAATGTGTAGTGTGTACCTTATGGTAGTAAGTCTAACACTCGCACCACTACGCCACTCATAAACTTCTAATTACCATCTTTTTCCTGGCGTATGTTATGTGTTTACTATTTTATATAGTTGCAGGAGCACGGAGTTAAATTGATGAGTAGATTTATTTTAAAATTAAAATTAAAGAATAGACAGAAATAGTTGAAGCAGTTGGCATTTTTGTCATGCGTATCTATCCTCTGTATCCAAAATATGCTTCATGTCACCACAAATCTATAAATGGCAGTCAAGTATCAAAATCCACTGCAGAGAGCCGCCCTGCATAATATGTGTGGAAACGATTACACGCTTTAGCCAATATTGCTCATTTTGGCTCTTTTCTTCGGTTCTGCATTTATAGCATTATATCAACCGCATTATTCTCCCTGCATCAAGTGCGGTTATGGAAATTCCCTCGATATATTGGCTGAATTAATTCCATATGCAGGAACTCACCCCTCAACTCCCACTGTTTCTATGTTTGAATGCAACTCGAAGAGTGAGAGGGCGTAATTGCAGTCATATAATATATGAGAGAACAATAAATTGCCTATATAGTCCCCTTTGTAACGTCCAGTCTCTTTTCGCTTTGCCGGCAAATGTGCAGCGGTATGATTCAACTTTGCCACCCCCTCGTAATGTATGAAAATACATACCACAGCTTTCAATGCTTCAAAATGTTTTCTAGATCTGTGAGTCTCATTCTAGCAGAGCAAATAATATACTGTATTTAAATGTTACATTTTGATCGATTTATTTTAAGAAGTACGATTTCAGTTAAAAATAAATTATTTTATTTATACTGCATAGCATTATTATTATTATTATTATTATTAAGTGACATTGATTATTTTCTTAAAAAAAAAAAAAAAAAAATAGAGATAACCAACATTTTAGCCAATAATCACTTAGTAACTGTTTAGTTGACTGTTTATTTCTGAATTGTTGGATAAGACTTGAACAGATCTTTATAGTTACGCATTGTGTATATTTATGTATCACCGGGCATTCCCTGCCCAAATACATCATCCATAAATACAAATTATAAATTACATTGGTTACAAAGAAAGAGAAAAATACATAAGAAAAAAAAACATACATCAAAACGTGCAAAAAGATAGAATAACATACAAAATAAACAGGGGACTGAAATTAATAATTGTTGGCATTAATATTTTTTGCCATCATTACTGACCTGTTCATGTCATCAGCACTTTATCACTATTTATTTTAAACTTGTCTTTGTTAGCTTAGACATAGCCTAGCTTGTACTATAATCCCGACGACCGGCCTCTTTTGGTTTGCATTTATATATATGCAACAAAAAACTTGCAAGTTTAGTGTGAGAATAAACGCAAACAAACGCAGCAGAAGTGCTCGGAGATTAAATGCTAGCGCGAGTTTACTCAAGGCTTGCTCATTGAAACAGTATGATCATAAGTCAAGTCGTTTTGACAGCTAAAATAGACAAGGGAATGCTGATTTTTAGCCGAAAGTACTTTTTCACCCGCGCCAATAGTGCCAGCAGAACCTTAATTAACATATAGCAGAATGCTGCAGCCACGGTGGAATATAAGCGCATCACTAACAAAGCACGAGACCAAATTCAGTGTTTGGACGCATAATGCAAACAGCTCCCACGGCACAGATATTTTAACTAAAACACACACGAGCTCACGTCTAATTCACCCTGCACTCTCGCTTCCTATATACCAAAGGGGTGCGAGAGGGCTAATAATAATTTTAATGATCAGAGGTGGGGAAAAAGTGTACACTCGAAACTCAACGACCATTTTATGCAAATCCGCTTGGATACTATTTGCATTTGACACTGCCAAAATTGGCAATTAGCGATGCAAAGTATCCCATTTGTTTGGTTTGTGTAAATATTAGGAGCCAAAAGTTTTCCAGCTAATAGTTTTTTTGCGAGTGCCTAATTTGAATTCTCAACCATTTTTTGCCTTTATTTTTAATTAGTGCTCTCTGGGTACTCAAAAGCGTTGGCTGTTGTTTGATAATTCTAAAAACTAATTTGATTGCAAAAATTCTGCACTCTTATAAAATGATTGCATGCATATAAACATATCGTGTTTCTTGTTTTATGGCGTTTGAGCTATATTTCATTAAAATGCTGAATTCTCAAGTGGCCAAGCGCTGCGCCCGTTAGGTCGCGAGAGACAGGAATCATAATTATTTCAGGCTCTCGAAAAGCCTTTTGATATGCGCCTTTGCAAAGAGTGAATTTTAAATTGAACGCCGCACTGCGCATCAGCAAAAGCAGAGGCCTCCCTTTGTTCTGCGTCAGCCTCGATGGAGGGCTCGTTGGTCGGGAGGGTCATTCAAACATTGCTTTTTAAACACACGCAATTATTTCATTTAAATTTTCCTTTTGTCTTTCAAAAAGCGCCGACTGTGAGATAACCATATAATATGAGAGACCGAGAGAGAGGCATCATCATTTGGTTATTGGTTATGGTTTTCCCTGCAGCGAGAGGAGAGTTGGCTGCCAGCATGCAACTTTCGTTTTTGATATGAAAAGAGTCTACAGAGCACCCTGTTTAACTGATTAATTTTTTCGCTGTATAATGAAAATAAAATTAATATTTAATCGTGTCTATAGTTTCCATGTTTAGTTATTTGGTTTGAAATAATCAAACCGGGAAAATAACGGAAAATAGCTTCACTTTTAAAAGCCCAACTTGTTTTATGGGTGTTTAAATGAATTTGTGCCAAAGCACCAGAATTAGAGATTTGACCTCCCTCTTGTATAAGTGGATTTATTGTCAACATATATTACTTATACTACTACTTATAATACTTATATTGATATCAACAGTGAACAGGCAGATGAGTTTGCCTAAGCCCATACAAAAATGTGCAGAGTAAAAAAACTCTGGATTTTACGAATATGTTGTAAATTGCAATATTCAGAATTTCTGGGGTGATCCTGAGTATATTTAACAATAATTTTGTCTTCTAAATTTTCAATCTTTAATAAATTCAAATTTATTTATTAGCAATTTTTTTCTCACTTCTCATTTCCCTCCTCTTTTTGTTCTCTGCTGCAGAACTCGCAAGGCTCACCTCAAAAAACTTGCAAAATCCCAAAACGGTTCATTTAAAATTGATGAGCGCATCACTAATTCTATGAAAGCGGGCCAGTGCGAGGGGTAAAACGACCTATAACTCTTCCCAATTCTCCTCCAATAACTTTTTCGTTTTTATGGCACTCGCAATGCGGGAGAGGAACACAGGCGAGAGACGATAAAAAAGAAGTTGAATAATTGATGCAAACAGAAAAGACTAGCTTTTGAAAACGAATTGCTATTTTCTGCGAGTGCAGAATTCCTATTAAAGAAGTTGAGCAAAATAATTTTTTTTTATTATTATTCGATCTTGTAATAATAATAATAATAAAAAAAATCCTCAGGTTATTAATACCTACAGAATAGATTAAAAAAAATTATTTTGTTTATCAAATGTACGACTGCATGCCCACTCAACCAGACGTCACTACATAGTCCAACTAAAAGGCATTCCTTTTTCACTTTCAATGTTTTTATGATTAGCGTTATCGCGCAGTGCGCGCGAGCGGCGCGAGATGTAATGAATCTCCTGAAAACTTCAAGCTGCTGGATAAGAGCTTATTTTTATTTCCCAACTTCTACGCACCTTTTATTCCTTACTTGCACCCTAAAACACTTTTTATAGATGAAAATAAGAGATCTCTTCAGTAAAATAATCATTATACTGAAGAGTATGCTTTTAGGCAAATGCACTTGGAGTAAAATTTTGCTTCAATTTTATATATACTTTCAGAGAAAAAAATCTCTTTCTTTTGTTAATGCGTGAGGCAATTACCACTTTTGAGTTGCGTAACAAGTAACAAGTAATACGCAAAGTTTCACAGCCTCCCAGCGTTTTGAATTCAATTCGATAACATTAGCAGGCGCTTTATTTGTTCCTCAAAATAAATCGAAATAAATTATGTAACGAGTGTTCGCACGACAAGGAAAATTGCTTGCAAATAATATGCTGCTTCCACCTGGAGCTCTCTACGTTCAGTTCGTTCTGAAAATTTGGGCTCGCTCTACCTGCTAAAGGCCCGCCCGTTGACCCGATGACCTCTGACCTACCGCGGTGCGTGGCCTGTACAAAAGATGGCACTCGGAGCGGCGGTGGTCCAGGCAGGGGTGTGCGGCGCGGCGATGCTCCTGGCACGGCTCAGTGTTCGGTGCCGCTTTGTCACGACAGCAGCCCCTCTTGCAACTCGGCGAGATTGCTCAGTGCCGCCCTCGTTGCCGCCTCTGCCGCTTCATCTGTATTTGGTTTTGCACCTGCAAGTGGACAGACAGTTTAGTGCAGTGCAACCCGGCGTTAAATCGTCCTTGCGCCTGAAAAGGTAAGAGGAATTTGCAACATATTATAATTAGCCTTTGATATACACGGTCCTATATTAAATTTAATACCTCATCTTTCCGTGTAACTTTCCCTGTGCAAATTTGCGGAAAACGCCTGGGGATATTAAGGCTCTGGTAAAAAATACATAGGGGGTTAATTATTCACCGCTTCAACACCAACAATTAAAAAAAAGTGAAGAAAATTTAAAGAAGAAAAAGTTTTATATACAGTGTATAAACAAATTTAATTTTATTTGCTAACAAAATTTAATTATAATAGTTTTTATAATTACATAATTCACCATAATACTTTGGTTCTGATCTGGATTTTGTTAATAATGCATCAATGTTGCCGTGACCATTGCAAAAAAAAGTTAACAAAACAGGTTGTTGCTTGGCCATTGCACAGCTTTTTGCATTTAGTATCAAAGTTATTTTAATTTTAATGTTATTTGCAGTTATCTCAGGAGACAAATTATTAAATTCTCGCTGAGATTCTATGCAAATTTAATATTTTGCAATATAGACTGATTAATTTTGTAGACGAGAGGTTAAAAGCCATAATATCGCGTGCCCACGTACCAGACTAAAATAGTGGCCTTTTCAAATTTGTGCTGTAATTGCGCTATCTGCATTAATAAGTAATTAAGTTGCAGCACACTCGCAGTTCACAGTGGCAAGTTGAACCGTGGCATTTGAATGTAATGAATTGCATCGGCGCCGCTCACAGAACTCAAATGTTAATTATGTTTTATTGCGCACAGAAATTGCTAATGCATCGGCGCGAATGCACTTTGTAATCTTTGCGGTGTGCGCGCAACATTGAAACCAAGTAATTGGCATGCGAAGATTATGACCAAATATACCAATGAGCGATACATACAACAATTTTTTATTCCTGAAAGGAATTTTGCGATTGTGGTTGAATTCTGTTTTATAATTACTTGTACATTTTATTGTTAGCGCATTAAATAAATATTTTATTTTCTGATCTCACTGAAGCCACACAACAAAATTAAAACTGAACTTACTCTGACAAAGTATGTATTTTGACCTATTTATTAATATTTTAACCGATCCGATTATTTAAAAATTTTTTCTTTGAAAAGTAGTTGTGAGTAAAAAAAGGTGCTTTTCAAAAATAGAATTATTTTTTTTTAAACACACTCAAATAAGATAATTTGAAGGAATTAAATTAACTTTTTTTGCATAATAGACATAATAGTATAATTTGCCATAATTCTTTTTGTCATTCTAATAAAAATTTGTATTACCTATTGTTTAGCAGAATAAATTTTTGAGAATTTTTTAAGCACAGCCGATTGTTCTAGCATGCTATTTTCATTAAATGGCAAGGTTTTGAGAGGAAATTCCAAGCTAATTAAAAAGTTATTCTCTCCGAACAGAAATACTATTCTCCGAGAATCTTTAAAATATTTAGCAAAGCAATAAATAATATTAAACCTCTGATTTTTTTTCATCTAAAATTTGATTCATAACTAATTTTTGGCACTCTGAATCGACTGGCTATGCAAAAAATTCCAAAAAAAATCTGTTCTAAAATATGATTTGTTTTTTTTAGCCTTTTTTCAGTGGCAATAAATTTTTTACAAACAAAACGACAATTGCGCAAATCATTGCCTAAAAGTTATTTCACAGGATCATTTATAAAAAAACCTTCAAATACAGAAAATAAATATATTTTCAAATCATTAATTATTTTATATTAACAGTAAAAGTTTTGAGTCTAAAATGTACCATTGCATTCAGAATTAAATCTCATTTTGTGCTATTAAAAAAAACCAAGATTATTTTTTTCGGGACGCTCAACTCATGTGCTGCTACAATAATTTTAGAATTGACAAGCGCGGCCTGCAGCAAAAACAGTGCACTAATTGTAAGCAATCGCGCCCTTTTGTGCTGCGACTCGGAGATAGGCAGGTGGGCGGAGTCAGTGCTTGTTGACAATGTGCCAAGTAATGTCGTGCATCAACGTGCGTCGCGTTTCTGTCCGAAATTCGGTTGAAATGAGGCTTTTTCGGCCGAAAAACAAGAGAAAATCCGGTCCAGCCTGGCATCTCGCATCGGTCGAGTCCAGTTTGAGCTTTGTTTGCACTTCACAGCGAAAGAGGCAGGTTAGTTTCAATTTTAACCCGGTTTTTTCATTCTCGCCAATATCAAATGTTTCTATTTTTATTTATTCCCGTGCAAAGTATTCGTTTTCAGCCTAAAACTGATTAAAATTTAAACCGAAAAATACACAACAAGCGTCCTTATTGCACTATCGTTGGAAGCCTGCGTTTTAATTAATATCTTACAGCAAGACAAATACATTAATTTCTCTAGTAATTTGTAATTTTGATTTATGCAATCTAGAAGTATCTTTGATGCCATTGGAAGAAAAGAGATTTTTTTAAAGCAGTAGCCAAATTTGACAGATTGCGACTGGTTGCGACTTTGTTTTTTCGTCTTCACTCCTGTTTGTAGGAGAAAATCGTCTGTATACCAAATTTTATTTTATCGACTCAAAATTTAGGTGTGGACTGCATTTTTACACTTAGTGTCAATATTTCTTCAAAAATTTCAAATGCGTGGAGATAATGCGGCTTTCTTACAATTTGTACAATAGTTGGAACTGTTCAATAATCCATGCAGGACCATTTTTTTTATGTAAAATATCTGGAAAAAAGTGGAAAAGAGAAGAAAGAAAAATACTACACATTAATTAATATAATAAATTAATTAATTTATATTACATGACAATCGCCAAACCAATTAAGTGAGAACATAATTCTTTTTTGTAAAATAATTGTAGTCGTCAATAATGAAACGAGGTACATTCATGGTGGATTGAATTTAAATTCGGCTTTTCCTCGATGGGTTTTTGTGAGTTTTTATTGTTTAAGAAAAACAATATCCTGCTCTACATGTTTCGGCTGCGGGCTGCAGCCATAATTCATGAGCTTTCTCGGCGGTGGTCGAGTCTTCTCTCGACCACCGCCGAGAAAGCTCATGAATTATGGCTGCAGCCCGCAGCCGAAACATGTAGAGCAGGATATTGTTTTTCTTAAACAATAAAAACTCACAAAAACCCATCGAGGAAAAGCCGAATTTAAATTCAATCCACCATGAATCAACCCTCGATCGTGAACTTCTACTACAAAAAAAAAAAAAAAAAGAGGTACATTCAATTGAGATATTCTCACTGGCTAGCCATAATTATTAAATGGATAGCTAAGTTTTCTAAAATATAATTTGATGTTACGCAAGCGGAATTCAGCAGAAGTCAAAATATCCAGCCTTCATTATATAATAAGGGTTTTCGGTAGCCATTTTCATAATTAGGCAACTTTTCACGAACCAGTTCAGCGCGAATTTCAAGTATTTGCGAGCAAAAAGTTTGCAACTGGAAAAGGGATGCGGCTCGCAGATCAAAATTGCTCCTTTTAGCGTGTCGCCAACTCGTCGAAAAATACTTAACGTCTGCCGCTCGCGCTCGCTCTCTCATAATTGAAGAGGCTTAATCCGGCGTTTGGTGCTCTCTTTGGAGCCAAGTTGCGCCAATTAAAGGCGCCCCCTAATGGCCCGCCTGACTGCGATGAACTCTTTGATTTAACTCAATTTGCATTTTCTCCTCGCCAGAGCAACAACTCGACCAACTTCTTAATTGCCTAAAACGAGAGCGAGCGATTCAACTTCTTGAGCTGCAATTCACAACTCGGCGGCGACTTTTCGCGCTCGTTTCATTTGCACCCTCTGTGGATTTTGAGCTGCTCTGCGGGAGGTCCGCTGTTTTACGTTGGGGCCTCTCTCTCGTTTTGTAATTTCGCTTGCACTTTCCACGCCGCGCCCTCCAAACTCTCCCCGACCAGGCCGGCCGGCCGGTCTAGAATGGATTCTGCAATTTTGTACACCAGAAAATAAATTAAGCCGGCCCGCGCGCTCTTTGCTGAAACAACACTTTTTATTAAAAAAACTGCGTCGGTTCGCCAGCAATCGCTTTATTTTGGGAAAACTTTCTGCGGTGTTTGCGGAATTTGAAGTTTCGACGCGGGTTATCTAAAATTGCATTGCTTGCTCAAATGACTTTGGATATAATTTACTGCTGCTTGTTAATGCTTTTAAGGTAATTAAATTAATGAAATCTGCATATTGCTTGATCTGAATCCCACGATGCATTTATTTATTAATTTTTGCATTATTTAAAACAAGGTTGATCATAATCAGCCTTTAATATGACCAATTTTAAATTTACAAAAAATATAAAATTGAATTATTTAGTTATTTGAGCCATTTTTTTTTCACAACAATAGCTTTTGACCGGCCGTTGAATCAACCGCACACAACAGAACTTTTCAGACGATCAAAGGCAAATATGATTTCCTCCAACAAAGAGGAGATTGATGGGAAACCATGAGTCTCTCGCTGTGTGTGTGTGACAAAGTATCGCAAAAATCGAGTTGTGTTGCTTGCCACTGGTCGTAACACGTACGTGAGCCAACAAACCCCAGAAAAGAGATATAAATTTCTAAACGCAGTGTTCACAACAACGACCGGGGCAACACCATTAGACGCCAGTGATATTATACACACAGCTTCAGCGCCCGGCCGCACAAAAGGCTGATTGATCACAATTTAATTACGCCGCCAGACCGCAGAGCAGGCCCGTTTTCCGTTGCAGCAAAATGCGTTACCGACTGATCCATACTGATCCTCAGTTTGTGCTCATTATGTACCACCCCACAGTTTTGGTTTATTTCAAATGCTCAGCATGTATTGAATTATATATAAAAAAATGTGATCTTGGCAATTTTTTTTTGTCTCATTAAGCATAGTTGTATGTAGAAAACTACTTTTAACTTTTATCCTCAGATTAAATGCTTAAATCCTTTTGCGTAGGTTTTTGTTTAGAAGCAAATGAAGCGTTTCCAATGCGATTATACACAGAGGGCATGGTATTTTGAACTGCGTAGAAAGATTCTATTTTTTGCTTTTTTACTTC